CTTATAAATACATTTTTATAATTTCTTTTTTAGTTTAAAATTTGGAATACCATCTATGACTGTATTTTATTCTCTTCAGTTGCTTTTAGTTTGAGTACTAAATTGTTTTGTTAGGTATATGAGTACAGATGAAAAGAAAGCTCAAGGATGCAAAAGAGAAAATGAAGTACTAATTCAACGTAGAAAGAAAGGTGGCCTGACTGTGCCATATCGTATAATAGATAATCCATTGAAACTATCACATGAGGATTGGTAAGTTATAAAAATTAATTCTTTTATTATTATTTTGTTTTCACTTATAAATAATAATTAATAGCCGTCATATCATAACTTTCATTGTCATTTATAAAAAATATTAAATATTTTTAGGGGATTTATAATGATTATTATATAGAATCAGAAATTATTATAAGATTTTATGTAATATCTGTATCAAATTTCCAAGCCAATTTTTTTTTCTATCTAATTATATTTGTGTAACCTCTTTGATAGTTCAATGTTATTAGGACAGATAGAAAATTTATTGAAAAGTAAATTTAAATGTTTCTTAACTTAAACTTTTTTCAGTAATTTTTTAAATCAGTTGTCAAAATTCTATACTATAAAGTATAAAACATTGTTTACATTGTATAACTTGCTTCTCACTGTTTGAGAGGTCCGATTTCCTTTCTGTTCCAACAAATTTAAGTGTTTTAATTGATTCTGATGTTTATAAGTGCAGTCTCATTTGCACAAGTTTTGTATTTTCCTTTGTGAACCAATCACAATACAGTAGACCCCCCTATAGCGCTTAGGTATGTTCCACATTATTCGAATTTTACGTTGTAGGAATCATTAAATACATGAGCCAATCCCAGCCCGACACGTGTGAAGTTTACGGACTAAGGCTGTTTGAAAGGTTTTCTTCCATAAAATTAACCGATTCTAGACTAATTCGACTCAACATTTCCAAAACACGTATAATTTTTTGGGAATAATCCGTATAAACTATGCTATAAACAAAAAATTGTAGGATTACTTACCGAGTGTGCATCGTTCGACTATGCCATTGCTCAAGCTTATTTTCGTTGCGGAACAGCACACGAAACGGCGGCCGCGATTTCTGATAACGAATTTTTCGCAGAAAAATAACTTGACCTTTGGAGACATCATTAATATAAATAATTTTTATGGCCGTTGAATAAGAAGNGAAATCAAATTTAAATAAATGAATCTAATTCTAAAAAATTATAAACATTTTCAATATTACCTTAAATGCTTGAATTCCCAGTAAACGAACTTTTATTCCCAAGTTTAATTTTTCTAGTAGGTTTTGAACCTAAATTTAAAATAAGAAAAGGAAGATCATAGTGAAATTATATTATAATTTCAAACTAAATCCTGAATTTCATAACCTACCCCAGTAAATAATATGGTTACGTATTCTGTTAAAGCTTTATCTGTATTAAAACGCTTAGTAAAATTACTTTCTGTTACACACAAATATTCTATAACAATACATTTCTTTTTCCCTGCTCTTCTCTCTACGTTTTCCAGTTTTCTATTAATATCAGTAGTTACAACTGAAAATATATTAGAAATTTTATGAAATTAAAATAATACAATTCTGTATATACTCAATACATTTATTAAAATGCATCACCGTCATTCATAAAGGAGTTTTTGTCACTTATAACTTCCACAATTTGATGCGCTATTCTTCCATCTTTAACCATTCTTCCCGACTCGTAAGGTGCTATTCTCATATTCGAATTAACTATTCCTTGCTAGAGTACATTAATTAAAGATATCAGTGAAAATTTCTGCAATGATATATAACTTTTTTTATTAATAAATTACAATAGTAAGAGGCCCGTCTTCATCGATCAAAAGTGCTGCTCCCTTATCACTATCTCTGTAGATTCTTCTTTTCAAGTCTTCTACGTCGATCTTAAATATTTAAATAATAAAATAATATTTATCTTTCGACTGCATCTTTATTTTTAATTTTAGATAAACTGTTATTAACTTAAACTTTAATCAAATTATGACTTACTGAATAATACATTTGGTCATTTTCGTCTACGAGTGCGAAGTTTCTTGCCAATATTTCACCTGCTGGTTTCAGTTTCAATTCGATGTCTTGGTCCAGCGCTTTAAATTTAATTGTCTTTTCTCCAGATCTGGAAGTTTCCACGGATGGATACACCACATCAACACGACCTATATATATCAGTAAACATAAAATTTTCAATCTTATTTTCATGTTTATAATTAACCACCAAGTGGCCGAATGGATGACACCACTGGACACTAATCGCGAATTTGTGCAAGAAAACTCCACATCAAAGTGCAAGAAAACTATATGTGGTCATACGAAAAACTTTACGTTGAGTTTTTCCGTCTTTCTTCACGTATCTAACACCTAAATAAGGGATTTGTCATAGAAAAGTCCTCCCGGTAAGCATCTTCCTTGGCATATTGTTACCTTACATCATAAATCTAATTCTATATTTTTATCACTTCAAATAGATTGAATCATTCTTATAATATTTAATAATTATTTTTCAGGGCATAATTTTTTCACACATAAAATAGAACGTCTGAATAAGATTTTCGCCATGCCTCAGATATTAAATTGCATGTATTATACAAAAGCCCAGAAACAGTAAAACTTAATTACAATACATGCATCACGCCATAAAAAGAAACTATAATATTAAATAAGTATCGTATAGCTAGAAACATTTTAAGAACGGGTGCGGCACATTAAAAAAAACCAATTGATTTTATTAGCTACGCTTTAATTTTATAGATACCAACGTATTTTATATTTACAACGCTATTGGAATAGTAATACTCTTACCACTTGGAATGGCCGAAACAGCGGTGAGGAGGAATATATTTGCTAGATAGAAAATCATGGTTAGTTATAGTATTGCCTACATCTTATTTATACTTACAGCTGTCAAGTGGAAAAAGCAAATTAGCTGCTATTACTTGATTACTCATCCTTTCAAATTGCTTTTTTGCATCTGTGACAAATTTTAAAGCGTTAATTAGTGCTGAAAAAGCATACTTTTATATATATGTATATATATATATATATATTGTATGATTTATAATTTTCATTCTTATAATATTTCATTATCTTCTTTAAATATGTCTATTTTCCTTTTATTTTATTTTTTGGCATATAAAAAATTCGTTTTAATCCATTTACATATGTTCAATAAATCAATTTAAATGTTCACAATAACAATTTTAATATTATTAATAGACAGAGTAGGTCTAGAATAAAGTTATTGTTCTTTGTAGTTTTTGAATCTTCACATCTTATTTTGTCATTATAATCAGTTAACTATAACTTTATTTCCATAAGAAATAGTTTGCAAAGACTGTACTCTTCCTTAAGAATTGTCTACAGGACTAAATTTCTTAATTATCATATGTTCACACTTTTATTAGCACACTGTTGTTGCTTCTAAATGAGACAGGTAACATGAAGGGATACATTATGTAGTATATAGTGATGATGTAGCTACTTTATTCTGTCGTTTTGTGCATGAAGTTAGTGAACAGACCATAGAAGTTTTGATTTTTAATTTGTTTAATAATGATGAATGTCTAATGTTCTAATGTAAAATTGAATTCAAAATCTTAATGAGTTTCAATAACTTTTGGTTTTATTGAATTAAATATTAATATTCAAAAACAATTAACATTTAAAATATTAAAAGCACACATAATTTTAAATAACTACAAATATCAATAACAAATTTATAATTGATTTTTGATCTAAAATTCAAAATTAATATTTGAGCACTGATTATAATTTTTCCTCCTCAGTGAAAGCATTTCATATCAAATGGGACGAAATGAGATTAGATTCCAATGTAGCAAAGTGGGCGGTGCATGTCATTCAGTTGAGTAAACAGAAACGTCACTTGGATCATGCAAATCTCTTAAAATTTTGGGAAGTTTTAGACAGGTTGGTATTACTTAAATGATACTTGTCACTTTGTTTTCTGTTGTTAATAATATGTTAATGTTTTTCTTTTACAGTTTTATGGTGAAACATAAACATCACTTGCGTTTCTAATTACTTTTGGTTCAAATATAAAAGTGTTCTCGACCAATCTGACCAACAGGACTGTAGAGCGCATGCAAAAATTTCCATCTTTTTATCTGTTTTATAACAGAAATTGAGTCGTGCAGATCGGGCATGTTTGACAAAAGAAATTATTTTAAATCTTGGATTTAAATCACATTACCGTGTAATTGTTGTACAGTTTTTTAAAAACATAAAATTGTCATTTTTTGAGGCGGTATTATGTCATTACATAGTGCTGATATGCTCTTTGTATGAAATTTGTATTAGTATAGTTCTTCCATGGATCTGATTTGTCATAATTATCAATTCTGCACCAACAAAAATCATCGTCATGTAAGGAATGTTTTTTTTCCCTCCCCACTTATTAGCATCACATTTTAGGGAAACAAATCTAATTGTAAATAATTGATAACACTACAAAAGATATTTGGGGAATAAAGAAAAGGACTATATACAACTGTAAATAAAATGTTGCTAGATTATTGTTAACACAATTGTCTTCTAGCTTTTATAAATTTATGATTTAATTAAATTAGTTTTGAAATGAATGCTGTTTTTTTATTCCTTTTATTTTATTTTTTATTTTGGAAAGAATTTCTATTTATAATATCAAATTTTTCAGAAATTTCAATTATAAAATACACAGATAAAATATAATGGCAAATACTTTACTAAAATAATTTCAAACTTGCTGAATTACAAATACAGTAGAATCTCGATTAACCAAGGTTCCACATAATTACCCGAAATGAACCCATAAGCAAATACGCTACTATTTTTATACCATAATTCATAAAACAAAGTTTAAAACAGTAGCATGCATTCCAAAATGATTTTTCTGTTACCTTTTATCATATAACTTCAATATGAGAAACCATTTGTATTAAAATTTAACTGGAACTGCAATAATAAACATTTTTATTCTTAAAACTATTGTATCATATATTAACTATATTATAAATGATGTAAAAATTATTCTTATATATAATTAAATTCACAAAGTATAAAAAGAGGCTTAAAAGTGCTACCAAATAAATTTTTTATACTGTGTTTATAATTTTTAATCCAATACGGCCACGGCGGTCTGTTTTATCCAAGTTTTCAGTTAACCGAGGCGGCGACAATTCACATCTCAGATAATCGGGATTCTACTGTAACAATAAAACTTGTCGCGCAGAGGCAGCAATTTTTATTTCGTGATTTATTCATTTATTTTGTATACTATAAAGTAATAAATATTGGAAAAAGAAAGTTCTACAAATCTTAAAATTAAGAATTAGATACATTTCTAAGGTGTAACTATTACTTCTTTTAACAACGTACCAAGTTAGGGATAAGAATTTTATGGTAATCTGATAACTGATTTAAAAGTGAAAATCAGATTATTGTTAATTATATTCAAAAAATAACTTTTTTATTAAATTTCTATATTTATTTTACATTGGTTAAATTGTCATCTTTTTATTGACAAATAAGAAAATAATTATCTTGATCCAATTGGGTAGTTTTTTTTCCTTTTGTAAGCTGAAATGATGACAATTTTTTAGAATTTATGATGCTTTCCTATACAAATTATTCAACTCATGACATTCTTAGATTTATGATGCTAGTACAGATGCTAAATTTCTTTCTTTAATTCTAAAAGTTTATTTTGCAATATTTTAATACTTAATTTATACTTTGTCCTTAGAAAATTTATAATTTTAAGTTGCTAATATTTCATTTTTATAATGAATAATTTATTTTTTATTCAGTTATGGTTTAACTGTAAATGATGACAAACAATTGTCATTGCACTGTATTTCCAGAATAGCTTGGAGAGTAGAAAGAGGGCAGAAAACTCAAAGTGAATATCTATTAATATTTTAAAACTAAATCAGATATTACTCAAAGTTACATTAAAGAAGTAAATATTTTAATAATGGAGAATGTTTGAACTAACAAAACTTTCTGCAACTTGATCAGTTTAATATTACCAAAAAGAAAATTATATTACTGTCAAATTCTGCTTTATATCAATAGAATACAGCAAGAGTTTAGAAACATGTATTGAAGCATTTTCCTTTTAAAACTCTGTCATATATTCACCGAATAATTAATATTGGTACATTCAAACATATTTTTAATAAATACCAATTTCTAATATGTTTATACATTTTGATGTTCACTCAAAAATATTAAATTAAAATNATTAACAATAGAATTGTCAAGTTTGTTATTTATTTCATTTTTAAGTAAAATAAACATTTAGATTGATTTAAGTAAACATTTTACTTATACTACTGTAATTAATCAATAAATTAAATGTGGTAGGAGTCAATTTTTTTTGTAATTAGCTTTCTGCTAAAGAAAACAATAGAACAATAAAAATAGATGTATCTACTCATAAAAAGATAGTTTTCTTAAATGTTTACAAAGAAATAAAATTCAAGAGTAACTTAGTTTATTTTATTTACACTCAATTGTTATTCATTTGCTTACAGTAAACGTGGCAACTAAAAGAAGTAATGTAGTTAAAACATTTTGTATATATGCTAGAAAATAGCATAAATTGTAATGTCATACTGTAAGTAAGTGCATAAAAGTTTGGCAGTTTTTATTGCATTGTCTTCATTGATCACTGTGACAGTCATACTAATCACCATTTGAGCATGTTACTGAGTACTGCTCAGCATTTAATGTGACAATTCATTGCCTACTGCCACAAGTAATAGTATTACATAAACTTTCAATTCTTCTTTGAATGATACTAAAATCACCTTTTTACAATCATTTGCTGCAAATTACAGAGCATTATACCTACCTACCAAGTGTACCTATAGACATTCAAGTCAAAAGAGAAACTGTTTTCTGTTGTAATTTATTATATGAATTTAAAAAGTATGTTTTGAATTGAATCTCATTACTTTAAATAACTTTATTTCATTTATAAAAATCCATTTTTTTATGTGAAAATGTTACATTAATTTTATAATAAGCATTTTACTAAACCCGATACATTGCAATAACTCTACTTCAATTGCCATATAACATTAATTTTAAATTTTATATGGTGTCATTCTACTGTTTTTATACAGTTGTAAGGCATAACTATGAAAGAATTTACATATTATATAAAAGATAACTTATGTGACTAGTTTAATTCACTGTATAATTAAAATGATCAGATTTTTGAATTTTTAGAATTTTATTTAAAATTATTTTCATTCATTAGAAACTGAGGGTTTCAAGATTGATACTATGGGTACATATCATGGAATGACCTTAAAGTCAGTGACAGAAGGATCACAACCAAAACGTCCTATAGTTCCAGTTCCTCAACCACAACCTATACCAACAGTTCAGAATAAACAACCACAAAAAAGAGGTAAGATGACAATATTAATAAATATGATTAGCAATTCACATAAATATTGTTAAAATTAATAAAATATGATATTGTTTTCCTTCAGCTTCAAAAACACCAATAATTATAATTCCAGCAGCTACAACATCATTAATAACAATTTACAATGCAAAAGATATTTTGCAAGATCTCAGGTAGTATTTAATTTGTTTTTTTTTTCTAATAAATTTATTTTGTTAAATTATAATAATAAAAAATTTATTTATGAGAATGTGTATTAGTTTAATAAATTTTTATTAAAATTCTTAAGTTTTTAGACTTATAAATACATTTTTATAATTTCTTTTTTAGTTTAAAATTTGGAATACCATCTATGACTGTATTTTATTCTCTTCAGTTGCTTTTAGTTTGAGTACTAAATTGTTTTGTTAGGTATATGAGTACAGATGAAAAGAAAGCTCAAGGATGCAAAAGAGAAAATGAAGTACTAATTCAACGTAGAAAGAAAGGTGGCCTGACTGTGCCATATCGTATAATAGATAATCCATTGAAACTATCACATGAGGATTGGTAAGTTATAAAAATTAATTCTTTTATTATTATTTTGTTTTCACTTATAAATAATAATTAATAGCCGTCATATCATAACTTTCATTGTCATTTATAAAAAATATTAAATATTTTTAGGGGATTTATAATGATTATTATATAGAATCAGAAATTATTATAAGATTTTATGTAATATCTGTATCAAATTTCCAAGCCAATTTTTTTTTCTATCTAATTATATTTGTGTAACCTCTTTGATAGTTCAATGTTATTAGGACAGATAGAAAATTTATTGAAAAGTAAATTTAAATGTTTCTTAACTTAAACTTTTTTCAGTAATTTTTTAAATCAGTTGTCAAAATTCTATACTATAAAGTATAAAACATTGTTTACATTGTATAACTTGCTTCTCACTGTTTGAGAGGTCCGATTTCCTTTCTGTTCCAACAAATTTAAGTGTTTTAATTGATTCTGATGTTTATAAGTGCAGTCTCATTTGCACAAGTTTTGTATTTTCCTTTGTGAACCAATCACAATACAGTAGACCCCCCTATAGCGCTTAGGTATGTTCCACATTATTCGAATTTTACGTTGTAGGAATCATTAAATACATGAGCCAATCCCAGCCCGACACGTGTGAAGTTTACGGACTAAGGCTGTTTGAAAGGTTTTCTTCCATAAAATTAACCGATTCTAGACTAATTCGACTCAACATTTCCAAAACACGTATAATTTTTTGGGAATAATCCGTATAAACTATGCTATAAACAAAAAATTGTAGGATTACTTACCGAGTGTGCATCGTTCGACTATGCCATTGCTCAAGCTTATTTTCGTTGCGGAACAGCACACGAAACGGCGGCCGCGATTTCTGATAACGAATTTTTCGCAGAAAAATAACTTGACCTTTGGAGACATCATTAATATAAATAATTTTTATGGCCGTTGAATAAGAAATGTTTCTTTCACAAGAAATGTATAAAATTAGTGCTGT